ACGAAAGGTATTCTGTTGTTTGGACCTCCTGGTACTGGGAAGACTATGCTGGCAAAGGCAGTAGCAACTGAAGCTGGCGCAAACTTCATCAACATCTCAATGTCCAGCATCACTTCAAAGGTATCTCTCCCACAGCGATCTGAATTTTTGTATATGCTCTCTTTCAAAGATTGTATTTGACCATCTAATATGAAATGTTTTGCAGTGGTTTGGTGAGGGAGAGAAGTATGTTAAAGCTGTCTTCTCTTTAGCGAGCAAGATCGCTCCAAGTGTCATTTTTGTTGATGAGGTATGTTCGAAGAGATTAATAAGCTTTATCTGTTTCTCCTTTTTCTTTGAAGCGAAGCTTGAATGTATATTTTTTCGATCTGATGATTGCGGAAAAACATTATTTAGGTTGATAGTATGTTGGGAAGACGTGAAAATCCAGGGGAGCATGAGGCCATGCGTAAGATGAAGAACGAATTCATGATAAACTGGGACGGCTTACGAACAAAGGATAGAGAGCGAGTTCTGGTACTCGCTGCTACCAACAGACCATTTGACCTCGACGAAGCAGTTATTAGACGGCTTCCCCGGAGGTAAAGCAACCACTCATTTTTTTTCTTTCTTTTATACGTTCTGTCGCTTATGGAGAGAACATTCATCATTTTGTGACCATTGCTGAGTCTCCGTTACATACTCCTATGCAGATTGATGGTTAATCTTCCAGATGCTACGAACAGATCAAAGATCTTGAGCGTTATTCTATCTAAAGAAGAAATAGCACCAGACGTTGATTTAGAAGCCATTGCAAATATGACAGATGGGTACTCAGGAAGTGACTTAAAGGTCTCTACTTTTTTTTCTTCTCTCTCTCTCGCTTCTTCAGTTTCAATCTCCTTGCCTTGTAAAAGAGCTCACAATTTCATTTGGTTGCAGAATCTTTGTGTAACTGCGGCACATCTTCCAATTCGAGAAATACTGGAGAAAGAAAAGAAGGTTTGGTTTCAACTTAACCGAAGAAAGACCATTTTTAGAACTCATCTTCTTCTAAACTGACTGTTGTTTTTACTCCAGGAAAAAACTGTTGCCCAGGCTGAAAACCGTCCAACTCCTCCATTGTATAGCTGCACTGACATTCGTCCACTGACAATGACAGATTTCAAGGTTGCCCATGAACAGGTAGGTCGAGGAAAAAAACTACATTAATTGGTTCTCATCGTGTTTGGGAACTAAATTGTTGATCAAATACATGTATATAGGTATGTGCGAGTGTGTCTTCAGACTCATCGAACATGAACGAGCTTCAACAATGGAATGAGCTGTATGGAGAAGGAGGATCAAGGAAGAAGACGTCCTTGAGCTACTTCATGTAGAAAGCAGAGAGAGAGAGAGAGAAGAGAGAGGAGAGGAGGGGAGATGATTTGTTCGGTTCTCTCTCATTTTGGTCATTTTAATTTATATAAATTTGTGTACAGAGAAAGTGTTGTTCCTTTCGTTGTCTAATTCATTTTCTTTCTCAACATAAGAAGAAGAAGAAAAAAAAACATTCGCTGTATAATCTAATACATGCGTATGTATATAGAGGTTCGGATCATTTTAAGGATATGGATGTGTTTCTAAATCTTGAAGGTGAACCATTTTGAGCTAATTTATCCAATTGCAAGGTGTTAGTTGCTTTGAGTAGTAATTTAGTTATTCTACACTTTGAATTGGCATTTGAGTGTTCTGTACACTTACTAGGTCTTAGGGTTTTAACGTATTTATTTACATAATTTTGCAGGTTTTCCAGAACGAACACAGTTATAGAATAATTCTTTCTAAACCTAAAACTATAATATCCTTTCTAGACCTAATCGCAAAATCTCTACCTTCTCCACTCCTGAAACGCAATGAAAATGATCAATATATACGTTTGAATGCTCATGCCTAATATACATTTGACATACAGTATATGTATAATTATTATTACATGTCTCTATATTATTATTAGATGAACAGTCGTTTAGGAAAACAAATTTTATCTTGTAAGTTATTATGCCATGCAAACAACAAAAGATGATTGAAATTCAAAAACATATAGTTGTCTTTTAAAATTAGGGAAGAGAATCTGGAAAGTATTTGTTTTCCATTATATAGGTTATTTATTATTTAGTTCTTTAATCATTACTATTATAAAAATATTACATATGTCAAAATAATACCAATCTATATGTATTCAAATGGTAAAAATTCATTCAAAATCTTGCAATATTTTTTTATTATATATTTTTTGAATATATATCAAAATTAAAGTTGAAATATATTTCACTAATTTTTAAAAAATCTAGATACAAAAAAAAAAATATATGTAAGAGACTGTGGACTGACCAACAAAACCAAAATCAGTGCATATTAAAATTATGTTTTCAAAATAATAGCTTTTTGCAGGTAAATTGGAATAATATTTTTATTCACATGTAAAACATGTTCGTCCGGTATGACATTCTTTGATAAGTTAAACATATTAAAAAATTCATGTAGAATTTTATTAAAAAAAATTAATACAAGTTTTAAGAGAAAATTATCCAACGCTTAGGTAGTGCGGTTAAGCCACGAAATAATTAAAAATTGTTTTTAAAAAATCAATGTAAATTTTGTAGAAACAAATGCAATTTGAAAAATAATTTTGTTTGCCTAACAATTAACCGGAGGAACCTGAACCCACCGAAATATAGTTTATAACTGAACAATAAAACTTGAATTGAACGGATTTTAAAAACTCTAAACTGAATATACATGCCTAATCTATACGTTTGAAATTATATGTATAATTAATATAAGTAGTATTATTACGTATTACATATATAGTAATTAATAGAGGGAATATATAAAAGGAAATAATATGTATAAATTGCAGTAATATGTATAACTTGCAGTAATGTTTAAAATATCTGTGACTGTGGTAAATATGGTGTCATACGTAAATGAAATAGGAAAGGTGAAATATAGAGAGTTCGATATATTGGCATGTAGTAAAGAATGTTGGGTTTAAATGAGACATTTGTATTTAAGGGGGGCCATTATATAAAAATAAAAACTTTTACTGTACAGACAGTTTGTATATGGTAGCACCAAAACCCTAAGCGCACACAGAAACATCTCATCATCCTTTGCTCAGCTAGATCTTGCCCTTCTCTTCCATACCGATTCACGGCGTCTAAGTAATTTTGTTTTCTAATATCTGTGATTTGGTTTGGTTCAATCTGGCTTTGATCGATTTGGTTCAATCTGGCTTTGATAGAAGGAGTATTTATGTAGTTTGTGAGGATTAGGCTCTCTAATTCTTGGGTTTCTATGGTTCTTTCTGATTCTGATGTATCAGGGTCGATTTCTCTTTGATTCTCTTTTTCAGCCTTGTTTCTTTTGGTTAGATTTTTTTGTACACTCCTAAGCATTCGTTGTTTCGAATCCTCCTAGCTCAACCACATGGATTTGTCGACATGGATTTGGTTTATTGGTTAAGATAGTTCAGAAAAAATGAATACATATAACAAAATTTTATGTTCAAATATAGGGGAGAAACCGATTTTTTCTTATTTCTAAGTTTAATTCTAACTTTTTAATTCTCATGACAAGCTTTGTACTTAGGTTTATCGTATCTTGAATACTCTTTACATAGAAACCTAAAAAAATTAGGACCATGAAAATTTTTCCTATATCAGACAATTTCCGAGAAGAAAAAATCTGTAATATTAAAACTAACATCTAGAAAATCTAGAGAAATTTGAATTATCATAGAAAAAATAGAGTTTATTGCTATTGGCAATACATGTCATCTCAACCCTTTGAAGTACAATGATCAGTTTTACAGAAAAAAATTGCTGATCCAAATGATAGAATTCAACTACATGGAAAACATAAAAGGCAAATTTAATCATCCCACAAAAATGCCATAGTTTGTTGGTAATGCCTATGTATAGCTTATCATTTGTATCAAATTCCTGTGGAAACGCACACTTCAGCTGGTCGATTCGTGTGTCTTAAAGAATATGTTGTGATGAATTCATATCCAATTTTAAGTGTGTTTTTTTTTTTTGCATTTTCCAGGAGAATGTCATGGACAACAATCAGGAGAATGTTATGGCAGATTCGATCCACCAACCGGTTTTCTCACCAAGACAGAGTCTCTCACCAAGACAGAGTCTCTCACCACGACATGAAACCGCAGAATCTACTCCTGGACAAGCAAGAAACTCAAGGTCTCTGACTTCGGCTTATCCACCTTGTCGGAGCATCTCGGGTTTATTTAAGTTTTCTCTGCTTCATTCGGATTTTCTGTAGAACTAAGTTTAGTTTAATTATAATAAATACTATAAAAAAGAGTGTATATAGATATTTGGCGTATACTATAGTAAAAATAAATGTATATAGATATTTGGCGTATACTATAGTAAAAATAAGTTCGTTTTATAATAATTGTTCCTTCGTAAACCTTGTATCTAGTTACTCTTCTTCTCTCATTGTCTCTCTCTAAGTGTCTCTCAGCTCTCTCTCTTATCGTTTCTTCTTCGTTCAAATTCTAGGGTTTCTCTAAAACTTCAGAAAGAAGAAATTAAACAAAGACATCGGGCAAGTCGTCGGACAAGAAAGAAGAAATTAATTTCGCATTGCACCAATGTCTGTTTTTTTTGTGAGGATTGGGCTCTCTAGTTCTTGGGTTTCTCTGGTTCTTTCTAATGTATTAGGGTCGATTTTCCTTTGATTCTCTTTTTCAGTTGTGTTTCGTTTGGTTAGATTTTTTTCCCGTACACTCCTAGAGCATTCGTTGTTGCGACTCCTTCTCAACGACATAGACTGATAACACAACGCTTTTTGTATTTTCCTCTTAGTGGTGTCCAGTCTCTTGTCTGATTTGGTTTTTTCCTGTACTGCTTCTCTTCCTCTGCATTCAACAATAATAACTTGATATGCATCGTCTGTGCCTACATTGTCTGTCTTCATTGTCTTGTGCCTTGATTTGTCTGTGTGTGTATTCCATGGGTACTGCCTACTGGTTAGAGGATTTTTCAACAGACGTCGGCGTGGTGATCTGTTCCATTTTTGATGACCCGAATGATCTCATTCGATTGGCTGCTGTCTCACACGCGTGGAAGCATTTTGGTTGTGCTTCTTTTCTTTAAATCTGTTTTTGATGATTGATTATATGATTGTTTAAATGTCTACTTTTTGCTCACTCTACATTTGGAATTGATTGCAGTGACTAGTAATGGTTTCGTCAAGAATTTGTTTCTGAAAAAAGCTGATTTAGCTGATACCGCCGGTGTCTGTTTTGAATACAACAAAGAGAGCACAGCTTATGCATTACTGATTAGGGCGATGGAGTATGCTAAGCTATTTGACCTGACCATTGAAGCAGTTTTGGCCTCTTCCACTCTTTCTCCTGATTTCAGCATTCAAAACACCTTACTATCCATGGAGAGTCGACAATGGTCAAGCAAAGGACGAGAAGTGCAATCTGGAACGGAGACTCTGACTTACAATATGCCCGAGTTGTGTCTTGCATTGCATATGGTTTCATGATAAGCCCATTCCAAGGCAATACTCCAACTTTATGGCATTTTGTGTTTTCTTGTTTTCTTTTTTTTTTTTTTTTTCCTTCTATTTTCATGTTCTATGACATTTTATACTATATCTTTTGTTAGACGTGAGTCTCCCTGGTTCTCCAACATTCAGAGCACAACGTGTTCGCTTCTTCTTTGGCAGCAACGACGGAACCGGATTCAAAGAGAATTATAGCACAGAGACTTACCAAATACCCTCGAGTGTTAGTAACCGCATGCATCTTAAAAAAACATGTTTATTACTTTATTTGTACCTTTTTATTAAACTCATACACTACTAATTAAGTAATCAACACAGGGTCAGCTGGAGGTTAGGCTCCCAATGCCTCTTCTTTGCATCAACAAGCAAATGGTCCTTGAGCTCTCCGATTTTGTGGACAAGCACCCATTTGAAGCACAATACTACATACGGTAAACACTCGTCTCTTTTTCCTTAACATTGGTTATCTTGTTTCTTGTATGAATATATATGACATTGTTTTCCTTTTTTCTTACAGCGTGTCGAGAGTCCAAATTCTCGGGGTATCTCTTGCTGATATGTTTAGGACAAGGATTTCGCCGTCGGGGCAATTGGTGTTGGATGCCATCAGCTACTTGGACCCAAAGATCAAGAGAGATCTTAATTAGAGCACTTGAGCGTAACCATCTTACTCTGGATGGTTTTAATGATGCTGACATTCGTGACCTAGCGACGTTCTTGAATGCCGATGCTCACTGACGAGAGCCACTTTCACAAAACAGTACAGTTTATCCTTACTTTTGCATGAGCTTTAAAACTCTATGTTTCCTTTATTTTTCAAGTGGACGTCAATGGAATAGTGTACTTATCAGCTATTTTGTTTTCTTGTGTTCCTTGGCTAATACTCCATTAAATCCAACTCACTAGTAACTATAGTCAAAGCTAGCTGTCAAACTAATACAGAATATCGTAGTTCTACAAACTAATCTATATTGTATCAGACTACTTTCCACCTCTAGATAAACTTTGAAAAATTCAGATTTATTAAAATTATTTTTCTAGCAAAGTTAATTGGATTACTTGGACCAATATACAGTAAAAACTCTATAAATTAATAATGTTGGGACTTTAATATTTTATTAATTTATAGAGTTATTAATTTATAGATTTCTAAAATTAATTTTCTATGTAGTCATAAATTTATAGAGTTCTTTTTTCTTTATATGTAGACTCGGGATTGGTAGCACGGGTTATTTTTTGTAATCCTCTATGTAGTCATAAATCCCAATAATTTATCCCCTTACCCATATTTAACATTTGAGGTTCCTTGTTTCAAGATGGTTCCCACAATGTTACACGAAAATCATGGAAGAGATATGTTCCATTATAGTATTTTTGTGACCTACATTTAGATTTAGTGGAGTCTATCAAATATAAAAACATGACAATTTATGACTACGCAATTTTATGTCATTTCTCATTTTTCAACTCATCTGGTTTTACTAAATATATATGTATGTTCCTTTAATTCAATAATAATATCTACCATCTCTACTCCACTAAGAAAAATATGATCAACCATTTGAAATATTTCAAATGTATTCATTTCATTGAATGAAAACCTATATTTTATAGTTTTTATACTAGTATCCACATATTCAGTGTCCAATATGAATCATCAAATACATTTTTCTTTCATTATTAATAAAATATACATTTTCATCTCAATTCAAAATTATTAATGTCAAGAACAATCGTGCGAGTGGATATTAGTATCTTAAAAAAAACTATATTAGTGGATTTGCATGGATATTTTCAAAAAAAAATTATTATCACGGATAATTTATTTATTAAGATTATAAACATATATATATTTATATATTTATCACGGATAATTTATATATATATATTTATAAAGCTAATTACCTAAAACTAGCACCAGAAAAGCAGAAACTTACAGACAGATAGAATCACGCTTTCTGAAAACAGAGTAATTGCTCAGTCGATAATGGATACAAGCTTAAAACATAATAATTTTAATATCTTACCATAAAGCTTCTGGCAACAAAAGGAAATAGATAATCACTAGTCTTCTTCCATTGGAACTTGTGGCATGTCAAAGAAGTCTTCTTTGATCGGCTTGTTGTTGATAGTAGAAGCTGAATGTGAATTATCCTCCTTCTCTCCGCGGTTTCTGCTACCCTCAAGCTCTCTCACAATTTCAGGAGTAATCTGCAAAATGTGGTAAACAAGGTTAACAAAACAAGGTTAATATGAAACAAAAACTAGAGTTTATCTTAATTAAATTAGTATGTGGATTATTCAGTTATAAAATATTTTTTTTTAAGTAATTAATTTTGGGTTATGTTTACTTTTTTATAGTTAATTTATTTTGATTTTTTATGTATTAAATAGTTGTTTTCATTCTTTTCAATTTATAGCATAACATTTTATTTTTTTGTTTTTAAAATTTTTCCGTCTGTGCGAGTCGCGGACTAAACACCTAGATATGAGTTATGATATGAATGCCTTCTACATAGATATAGATGGGCAAAAGTGCAATTGATTTGGGATTTATAATCGGTAAATTATGCAGCTTAGTCAGAACCAAACTCACTGAATCTATCAATACTGATCCAAACCAAACTAATTACGGTTGTGTTATAAGTAGGTCTAGTTATAAGGTTCCAAGACATTGCAGATAGTACTATTGGTAAATTTCACTTTGACAAATGGTTAGTATAATATTTAATAGTACTATAATAGATTCTTTAACAATTTAATGTGAGTGACATACCATATAAATATTCTACACCGATCAGTTTTTTTTTATATACTCCTATTCCCTTTCATTTAAACTTATTTAAAGTTTTTGAGAGTTTCTCTGACGTGTCAAGAAGTAAATAACACATCAAGTAAATGGTATTTTCTAACAATATTGTCAATTAATATATAGGTGATATCAAGACGCAAAAGGCATGTAGTTGTCCATTCCCAAACGCTAAAAACTTCATCCTCAAGTTGTGCGTCTTTATTTATCTGTTGCAATTTGTTGTGAAATCCTGATTAGTATTGATGTCTAAATGGAAAAATCAGAATCTCAAAAACCTAATTATTTTAAAATTTACAAACATTCATGTGTGTTAAGGTGGGCATATGCGGTCTCGGTTTTCCAAAACGAATTAAACATTGAATAATTCTCAAACACAAACCGAGTTGTTAATATATGAAAACCAATGCATAAACAAGTTGTGTGTTTCGTTTCGGTATGTTTTCCCTTTATCATGATGCAGATATGTAATCAAGTTTCTAAGGCCAGTCTGGCCAGAATTTTTATTTTATTTTTATTCAAGCAGATACAATATCAGTCGAGAATGAGTTTAAGCTTAAAACAAGTTATTCTTTATTTTCTTAGCACAAATAGCAAGTTAACGAAAAACAAAAATCACGCTTTCTGGTAAATCAAGGAAAAAGCAAAAAAAGGTTCACTCATGGTTCACAATATTGCCGATAATAGAAAGACCGGAAATCGATAATCAGTACTAGTCTTCTTCTATTGGAACCTGTGGCATGTCAAACAAGTCTTCTTTGATCGGCTTGTTGTTGATAGTAGAAGTTGAACGTGAATTATCCTCCTTCTCTCCGCGGTTTCTGCTACACCCAAGCTCTCTCACAATTTCAGGAGTAATCTGCAAAAAAATATGGTAAATAAGGTTAAGTTAAGAAAGAAGAATTTTTTTTTTGTGATTTTGTTAGACAAGGAAAAGTAGTTATATACAAGTTTGTGATTTTGCTTCTCAAGTAGACTTGTGAGATTCTTTTTATCTTCCTTTTTTAGTTCATGCTTGTACCTGAAAAAGCAGAGGTTTTCACATGAGAGGCAAAAGCTGACTATATACTTATGTCTGAAATGAACCAAATCTTCTCCTTCCTTACCGTTGCACAAAGGCGAGAAGAGTTTGGTGCCAAATGACCGGCATAAGTTTTGTCTCTTTATGAACTCTCAAGAAATGAGCAGCCACCGCATCAATAGCCAGATGCGCAAGCGCATATTTCTTCTCCAAAACAACTTTCATGAAGTAACTGCACACACATACAAACAAAAACACAATGTAACCAAGAAAAGCTCACGATATAGAATCTGAATACCTACGTATGTAGATGTAAGGTTATATCCTGCATTTACCTTGTTGTGTCAAGAAACTCCATCTCCGCCAAACATACCAAGGCGGCACTGCAGTTTATGTATATAATTTTGTTTTGGTTTCTATTTCTTTAATATTCTGGCAAAACTTTCAAAAAGATAGAGGTAAATCCTTGTTACCTTGAAATATTTTCAGGGATAGAAAACTTGTGCATTATACTCCCTATAATTTTAGCTTCGGTGACGGTGCATGTTCCAGACTAACAAACATGCAAGTTACTTAGAGAAAATTAGGAATACAAAGATCAGAAAAAAAAGATTAAAAAAAAATAACACACACACACATACCTTACACAGGGGAATTATGATTCCACAGTAGAATCCTTTGGGCTTGAACAGTGCCTTTTTCAAAGATTGGTAAAGACAAAAATGTAGCTTTTTGTGGTTTCTGATATCTTGTCTCACCCTAGGAAGAAGAAAAAGCTCATAGAAGCGTTCAGCTTTGGTGCTGGAGGCAAACATGTTTGTAGCCTTGTACATGGCATTGGGAGACCAATTCTCTGGTTGGCTCAACTTCAATAAACTATCCCAATTTTCAAGTCTAGTAATATGGTTAAGAAATTTCGGCACTTTCCCATGTGTGTATACACTCATAAACTTTCCCAGCCTGCATAGTTTCGTTTGGTGGTGGTTATATATCAGAAACCACAAAACTCAAAAAGAAGACGAGAAGGTTATTACCTTTCAAAATAGTCAATGGCACTAGACTTAGACATGGGAGTAGTAGTTACTGAAAGAGAAGCTGAACCTATACAACCCTCAAAATATATCCAGCAAGAAAGGATTAGCCATACAAACAATAATTTCCACACACACAGATATGAGATATATAGCTAGGTATATATAAAGCAAAACCTGTAGCAGCAACATCTTTATCTTCAAGCTCATTGACAGAATTAGAAGTAGCAATAGCATTAGAGAGACGTTTTGCTATTGAAGCCCCATCCTTGTGAAAGAATGCATCTAGTAATAACTTGTCCTCTTCTTTCTCGCAGCTGGCCATATCCTGGTCACAATGTAATGCAGCTATTTTTGAACAGTTTGTATTCATTCTCAATCACATAAACACAAAGAAAGAAATCTAAAAGCTTACATAACAGTCAAATATAACCTCTCCAGAAAATGTAGAGAAAGAAATCTCACTTGGTAGTAAATTTCGCTCTGAAACTCTTGCGATTGCTCATCAAAATCATCGATACCATCTTTCAAACCATACACTGCCTTCTTGAAAAAGGCGGCCATAGGAATTTTCTCGGCGTTCTCTTCATCCTCGACCTCTCTTTGCTGCGCATACGCTTCCTTCAGGATCTTCTCCGTTAGCTTCACATAATCCACGTAACAAAATCCCATCAATTCCATACAATCCACGAAATTAGGTTAAACGTATATGGAAGAATTTTGGCTTTCTCACCTTATGGGGTTTGCGAACTTTCCTCGAGGAGGAGGCGAGGGAGGTAGCTTGAGATTTTCGCTTAAACGCCATTTTGATATGGTCAAAGATAATAGACTGAGAGAATTTAGGGGAAGTCGAGAATGTGAAGAAGAAGAAAACGCCTTAAACCTAACCTAGTATCAATTACGTGGCCCTAACGGGATATTAACTGTCAAACGGGCTTGAATTTTGAAAATCAGGCCCAATGGGCTTAGAAGTTAATAAAAATGGGCTGACAATACGAAAACAAAAATTAAAACGCAAAACGACTATACTGGGAAATTCCCAAACGCTGAAAACGCTAACAACACATACAATCCTCAGCTTCGATTTTTGGCGGCAAACACACAGAACCAGACCTAGGGGTTTTACTCTCTCTCAGCTTCTCACGTTTCTAGATTACGGTGTCGATTTGATTTGGAGAGATTCAATCGATTTGATTTAGGGTTTTGAATATGCAAGGAGACTCGTCTCCGTTGATAAGACCCATCAACAGAAGTGTGGTTCACAGAATCTGCTCCGGTCAAGTCATCTTGGACCTCTCCTCGGCTATCAAGGAGCTTGTCGAGAACAGTCTCGACGCCGGAGCCACCAGTATAGAGATAAACCTCCGAGACTACGGCGAAGACTATTTTCAGGTCATCGACAACGGCTGTGGCATTTCTCCTACCAATTTCAAGGTACGAATCTCCGATTGATTTCAGATATGTAATTGTTCAATTGGAGATGGGTCTATTCCGTTTCCGGTGTGGAGTTTTTTGCCCTTTTCGAAAGTTACTCACTTTCCCTCTATGTGCTTCAGGTTCTCGCACTCAAGCACCATACTTCTAAGTTGGAGGATTTCACAGATCTTCAGGGTTTGACTACGTTTGGTTTTAGAGGAGAAGCTTTAAGTTCTCTCTGTGCCTTGGGAAATCTCACGGTGGAGACAAGAACCAAGAACGAGCCGGTTGCTACGCTCTTGACTTTTGATCATTCCGGCTTGCTCACTGCTGAGAAGAAGACTGCTCGCCAGATCGGTACCACTGTCACTGTGAGAAAGTTGTTTACTAATTTACCTGTACGATGCAAAGAGTTCAAACGCAATATACGCAAAGAATATGGAAAGCTTGTATCATTATTGAATGTGAGTTTCTTACTGGTTACTTCGATAATCTTCACACTTGTTTGGATTGCAACTGATAATAGTTTCTTGGTTACATGATACTTATATATCTTAATGGATACTTCAGTGATCACTCTCCTTATTATAGCTAAGCTTCTTTGATTTAATATTACAGACTTTCTATGGTTTGATATATATTCTCCTTGTTGGAATGACATTGGTTTTCAGAAGGTTTATTTTCTGTCTTTAATGTGGATTACAGTAGAACGGGAATTATCATAATGCTGGGAAGTATATTTACTATACAGACTGTTTTAAGCTCAGTTTCTTACCCTAGAATAAGCCTCCGTTTCAATGATGACCAATGACTTCTCCAATCGTGTTCCTCCTGTTCTTTTCCTTTGTGCAGGCATATGCACTTATTGCGAAAGGAGTGCGCTTTGTCTGCTCTAACACGACTGAGAAAACCCCAAAGTCTGTTGTGCTGAACACACAAGGGAGGGGTTCACTTAAAGATAATATTGTAACAGTATTCGGCATGAGCACCTTTACAAGTCTACAACCAGTAAGTATATGTATATCAGATGATTGTAGAGTTGAAGGGTTTCTTTCCAAGCCTGGACAAGGTACTGGACGCAATATGGCAGATCGACAGTATTTCTTTATAAATGGTCGGCCTGTAGATATGCCGAAAGTCAGCAAATTGGTGAATGAGTTATATAAAGATACAAGTTCTCGGAAATATCCGGTTGCCATTCTGGATTTTATTGTGCCTGGTGGAGCATGTGATTTGAATGTCACGCCTGATAAAAGAAAGGTGTTCTTTTCTGACGAGACTTCTGTTATGGGTTCTCTGAGGGAAGGTCTGAACGAGATATATTCCTCTAGTAATGCATCTTATACCGTTAATAGGCTCGAGGAGAATCCCGAGCAACCAGAGAAGGCTGGAGTTTCATCTCTTCAGGAGAAATCAAATCTCCTGTCAAAAGGGATTGTTCTTGATGTCGGTTCTAAAACCAGCGTTGCAGAAGCTGTTGAAAAGGAAATTTCTCCCTCAAGGGAGGCTGAGATCGAAGATAGTTCGGCATTGGAGAAGTTCAAATTTGACATCAAGGCACGTGGGACTAAGAAAGGGGAAAGCTCTTCATCAGTCAATGATGAGTCCCTATCTGTAATTCACTCTAACAAGACAGCTAGTAAAGCTTTGCCTCACTTTAATGTGATTGAGAAAGTTACTACTGATGCCAGTAAAGACTTAAGCAATCGCTCTAGCTTTTCCCAGTCAACTTTAAATACTTTTGTTACTGTGGGAAAAAGAAAACATGAAAACATAAGCACCATCCTCTCTGAGACACCTGTCCTCAGAAACCACACTCCTGGTTTTCGTGTGGAGAAAAGCAAATTTGAAGTTCGTGCTTTGGCTGCAAGATGTCTGATGGAAAGTGATGAGGTTGATGGTATGGTCGTCTCGAAGGAAGATGTGACGCCAAACGAAATGGACTCTGAACTAGGAGATCGGATTTCTCCTGGAACCCATACTGATAATGTTGAAAGCCACAGAAGAGTAAGTAGGCTTTTGTAGTAACATCCATGTCTTAGTAGTTTGCTGATTTTTTTATGTTGCTTAACCATTATTTCGTTTACAGGAACCTAAAAAACCAATATCTTGTGAAGAACCAGCATCAGATAACACACGCACCGAGGGGGGTACAGAAAGGATTTTGGAGGACAATCCACGTTGCAGCCAGCCACTGCGACCTGTTGCCACAGTGCTAGACTCCCCAGCTCAGTCAACCGGTCCAAAAATGTTTTCCACATTAGAGTTTAGTTTTCAAAACCTCAGGAAGAGGAGGTTAGAAAGGCTGTCGAGAATACAGTCCACAGGTTATGTATCGAAATGTATGAACACGCCACGGCCTAAAAGGTAAGATTTCTTTCATTCTTCTTTTGTGTGTTCTTTATGCAGTCAGAGAAATTGGATGCTTAAAAAAATGATAAATTACAGGTGCTTTGCCGCTGCAACATTAGAGTTATCTCAACCGGATGATGAAGAGCGAAAGGCAAGAGCTTTAGCTGCGGCTACTTCTGAGCTTGAAAGGCTTTTCCGAAAAGAGGATTTCAGGAGAATGCAGGTTACTATCTCATTAACTAGTCAGTATCTCAGCACTGAAAGATCGATTTATAGTGTTTTTCTATTCTGCTCTATCCTGGCTTCTGTGGAGAGAGATTTATATATGTGTCTGTGTGATAGGTACTCGGGCAATTCAATCTTGGATTCATCATTGCAAAACTAGATCGAGATCTGTTCATTGTGGATCAGGTGAGTCTTCGTATATGCATATGCTTTCACCCCCTTTACTTTTTTTCTCCTTCTAATTATTTAGTTTTTGGTTGAGCTGTGGAAAATAGAAGTTTCCATCGTTTCAGAGTTTGTTCCTCTGTGCCTGTTTTTTGAATTAAATGGTTGGTTTTTTAAATGGGCAGCATGCTGCCGACGAGAAATTCAACTTCGAACACCTAGCAAGGTCAACTGTCTTGAACCAGCAACCCTTACTCCAGTGAGTTGCTTTGTGATCTCAAACTAAGGTTCTTGATTCCATTTCACTGCTATCACTTTCACAAGGTTCCATTTTACTTAGAGATAGTTTAACAATCACTAGTATCTCTCTTCCCCTACTATCAATCGTGTTACCCGTACTTATTTACTTTCTACCAAAACCAGGCCTTTGACGTTGGAGCTCTCTGCAGAAGAAGAAGTTACAATCTTAATGCACATGGATGTTATCAGGTAAAGGATCACCGTTATTTACCATGTATCAATTTCTTATTCTTGACATTTTGGTTTAGAGATTTGATATGTATATATAACAACTTTCAAGGGAGAATGGCTTTCTTCTAGAGGAGAATCCAAGTGCTCCTCCTGGACGACATTTTAGACTGAGAGCGGTTCCCTACAGCAAGAAAATCACCTTCGGAGTCGAAGGTTCCTTTTTGTTTACCTTGCTTCTACTGCATCAAATAATGTTTTCGTTTTTCTTGCATGACATGTTCTTGATTACTCTAACGTATTGGGCAGATCTTAAAGACCTAATCTCAAGTCTTGGAGATAACCACGGGGAATGTTCAGTTATCAGTAGCTACAAAAGCAGCAAAACAGATTCGGTTTGTCCATCGAGAGTCCGTGCAATGCTAGCATCGAGAGCATGCAGATCGTCTGTGATGATCGGAGATCCACTCAGAAAAAACGAAATGCAGAAGGTAAACCAATATACAAATGAATGTCCTCTCCTTCTTCTTTTTAATAACTAATGTTAGAAATCAAAATCTCATACTAAATTCAACTTGAAGAGTAAGTTGTATGAACAAATCTTTCTGTGCAGATAGTAGAACACTTGGCAGATCTGGAATCTCCTTGGAACTGTCCGCACGGACGACCAACGATGCGTCATCTTGTCGACTTGACAACTTTACTCACATTACCTGATGACGACAATGGTGATGATGATGCAGCCATCTCACTCTCATGAACTCAAAAAAATAAATAATAAAGAGTTAAGTATTTAGAGACGTGAGAACCCCCTAACAATTAACACTCGGTTATGTTTTATGAATACAATTTGTAAATAAATTTTCTTGGTCACTAACGGGTTAATTTATTATGTACAATTACATAGGTTCTAAAAAATTCATAGATAGAACAAAACCACATTTGATAAACACTTCCGTCTAGTGAGTTAGTAACACAAATATTTTGATTTGGTTTCTAAATCAATGAGAACTCCCAATACCATATAAGCCCTGTTTTTATTCCCCCAAATCAAACAAAATGAATTTCATTTGGTTTAAATGGATGCTGCTTTGGTGGTCTTGGGATGATTAAGGGTTTGATTGAGAAGAATTGTGGTGGTAGATTTTAATTTTTGACTATAACTATAAAGAATTTTGGCTGTAAAATAATAGCTCTGATTTTAGAAAAAAAATAAATATCACATGTTTAGTTTTTGAAAATTTAAGTGTGAATTATTTGAAAAAATAGGAAAAGAAAGCTGTGAGAAAATTTAGACTTTTAACTTTCTCTAAAATCTTTATAGTTTTAAAAGTTTATTTGTCAAATCAGAGCTTCAATTTGTGAGTGTGGGTTTAATGATTACATTTACCTTTTTTTTTCCGAAGAAAAAAAAAATTAATCTTTTGAATGGTTTAAGTTTGGATCGATTTAACCGAATATTTAAATCCACCTAAACCCTAAATTTGAAAGTGTTCATCTCAACCGTTGAACCTGTAACAATCCCAGCCTTCCAAGCCATCAACGTTTGATTATTCATGACCCACCTAACGTTTTGTACACTAGCTCGTACAGGATAATCGCTTCGAGCACTATAACACAATCTATGTGGAGCAACAAAAGACAAGTTTTTTTTTTCTCTCGATCAAAACAAGTAATTAAAAAAAATCTGAACTTTGCGTCACCGTTTGGGTTTTCTTCTCTTCTCTAGGGTTCTTCTACAACGTTCCAGTAAACATGAGGTAGATAACATTTCCTTTTCATTAATCTTGCTTATTGGGATCTCTGATCAACTCTTCCCGTTGATGAATCGTGCTTCTCGAATTTCCTCGTGTGTTATTTTTGCTTTTCTTTTTGCTTTGTCCCTTAAATCTCTGTTTTTCCTCATTGGTTTGTCTTCGAGACTTCTTTTCTTTATAGTATCGGTGGATTTAGGGTTACACTTTTATTGGATTATTGGGGAATGCGGAAATCAAATTAGGGTTTTTAAATTCGGGTCTAGGGTTTATTGTGTTGGATCCGGAAGTTCTCTTTACCATTTTCGCCGTCAACTGTATATCAATATTGCTGTATCAATCTCCTCTCGTAAGCTTAAAACAGTTGCATTTAGGTTTTAGGGTTTATTTGCTGAAGTTGCAGAGATATTTGTACTAATGAAGTTTCAGTTTACGTTATAGAATCAAATGACTGTTAAATTACTTGTTTGGTGTCTTAATTGTGCATATATGTTTGGTGTTTCTCTTTTGTTATGTTTGCTATGCTCTTGGTCTCGAAAGTAATTGATTTTCATGTGTTTTATAGTCGCCATCCCGAAGTGAAGTGGGCCGAGACTACGGACAAGATCTTCCTCACTGTAGTATTAGCTGATTCTAAGGACGCAAAGGTTAATCTTAACCCGGAAGGAGTCTTTGACTTCTCTGCAAAAGCTGGTCCAGAAAACCACGTTTTTGAACTTAAACTCGAACTTCACGACAAAGTCAATGTAGAGGTGAGTTTCGTAGACTAACCTGGTCCCATTGTTTGGCTTCTTGTTGTTGCCTGTAAAGTTCTAAATCATGGACCTTTTTTCCCCATTTTAGGAAAGCAAAATTAACATCGGAGAAAGAAGCATATTCTGCATAATAGAGAAAGCGGAGCCGGAAAGGTGGAATAAGCTAATCCGTGGAGGGAAAGCGCCACACTATGTCAAGGTGGACTGGGACAAGTGGGTAGATGAGGACGACGAAGGCAACGCTGGTTAGCATTTATCTTAAAAGCTTATATTCTTGTGTACACTCGCTGCACTTTATATAAAAGGTTTTGGAGTTGTTAACCCGTGTGTGTGTGTGTGTGTATTTGTTTTGATTTAGGTGCTGGAGATATGGATATGGGAGGAATGGGAGGAATGGGTGGAATGGATTTCTCGGTTTGTTTCTAGCTTGTGAATGTTGTTTATCTCATAGATATGGATATCTCGGTTTGTTACCTGTATATATATGTCTAGCTTTGAGAAATGACATCATGGTCTATTCTTGCTTCTTGCAGAACTTTGGTGGAGCCGGTGGAATGGGTGGTATGGCTGGACTCGAAGGACTTGGCGGCATGGGTGGGCTCGGCGGTATGGCCGGACTTGAAGGACTTGGCGGCATGGGAGGCATGGGAGGCATGGGAGGTATGGGAGGCATGGGTGGAATGGAAGAGTTTGAAGACAGTGATGATGAAGGTAAAAGTTTAAAAGATTTTCCCTAGTTTATGTTTAGCCGCATCTTTGATGAACTGAGAGCATTTTGCTGAATTGAATGACTTTGTGTAATTGCAGAAGAGACTGCAAAATCAGGAGACAAGAAAGACGAAGTCGTTAAGGATGAAGCGAAACCAGTAGAACAAACAACATCTGTCAAGGGAGACAAGTGAAGACACTCTTCTAGAAATGAAGTAATATGATATCTTTTAGCTTTCGTGTTCATGAAACCCTTTATGACTTCTGTCTTTTTTAAATGGTGTCACTCTGTTTTACTTTTAAGTTTTAAGTATCTGTTTTCGGTTTAAGTACTTGCATTTGTGCTCCGGTGTTGTTTGTCTTTGCAATTTTTGGCATCGACATAGAGGTTGTGAGGAAACCTTTTTCTATGTCTATTGCTCTGGCCTCTAAGAGTTTCTTATAATTTTAGTTGAGCACAAGTTTTCCAAATTGATTAGTAATGAACGCAAAATACAAAACAGACATTTGTCTAATTAAAATTGAACGTAGAATATTCAATTTGAAAATGGAAAGATCGGTCTTAGCAGCCACTGATGGTAGATGAAGACTCTTTTGCAACTTTTTACCTTTCGCTCTTCAAAAGCGGGCTTATACAGGCCCACAAAATAGCCCGAAATATTAGTCATCAACAGACCTCTCGATTCACAAAAGATGACATATGGCCTTCTGTGAATATATCATATATGTATATGGTCAAATGTCGTTCAAACAAAATTATATGGTCTGTGAACAATTAATTAGAACATATTGGTATCAAAACTCAATACTTTTATTACAAAACATGTTTCACACAGTGAGGTCCAAAGGATTATACAAAAAGAAAAAGACTACTGCAATATCCTAAGATAATGTGTGCTCAATCATAAACTCAACCAAATCCATGTTCGTATGAAGTAAGAGAATGGGTAAAGATGAAAGTGAATATCAGTTTCATATGGAAACGAAACCCATTACAGTAATTTCTTCAACGTAATGCTCAAACACTAACCAGAAACAAAAACACAAATGATCGAGTTTCCTACAAACATGAAACAATTCAGCAGCAAGGTAAAGGTTCAGATTTTTAGAAAAGACTTTGAGAAGAAGAAGAATCAAAGACCTTTTTTTTTTCAATCTCTCAAGTATAGAGAGGTAAAGCTGTCCAAGCACCAGAGACATGTCCATTCTCACAGACATAAGCTCTCACAACTGGCTCACCATCGTCGTGAAACCCAAAAACTCTTCTCAAGCAAAACGACGAATGCAGATCCCAAGTCTCGTCGCACGAACAAAACGCGCATTTCAAACCCGAAACCTTACTCCGATTACCGTCGTTTATCGTTCTCCAAACACGAGACCTTTTGAATTCCTTGAAAACGCCTCTGAACAACATGTAGTTTCGCTTCTCTTCCACGTGGATGCATCCAGGCCAATTGCAGATGTAGAGACAATCACCGCGAAATCTGCTCGCGAGGAGCTTGTTGCCTTGTTCTCGGCTCAGATTCCAACCTCCTGAAGCTAAATGAGAACCTAGCGACCGGAAAATCTTCCGCCGTTTCCTCACCGGAAGATCGCGTCCAGGTCTGATCTCACTCGTCTCAATTTCTTCTTCTTTCTCGACGGAATCTTCGGGAGGAGCGGAAAGAGTATCGGTGTAGAGGTCGTCATAGAGAGACCAAAACGAAGTCGTTTCTAAAGTAGATCCGACTGGTTTCGTAACTTCGCCGTCGTTGCGAGCCGGATCCGTCGGTGTAGGTATCGGATCGAGTCTATTGAGGCTTTCATCGGGGCCGAGCTCACGTTCTAGACCGAAATCGGAGTTTTCGAGGAGAATTCCGGCGTGGAAGAGGCCAGGACAACAGACGGCGAGTTTGTAGAGAGAAGCCCAGCCGCCGGGAGGAGGAAGAGACGAATCCGCGGCGGCTGAAGATGAGGAAGAAGCGGAAGAGGCGGAGGGAGAAGTGAGGAGGTCAGAGATGACGGTTGGGATTGCGGAATAGCACTGCGTTTTACAGCAAACGTTCCGTACGATCGATGAGAATTTGGTGCAGACGCAAGCGAGACGAGCCCAGTTTCTTGGATCGTCTTGGAGCTTGAAGAAGATTTTGAAGACAACGTCTTCTGGTACCAGAGAGAAACCAGATTCCGCCATTGCTTCTCGCTCTCACTCTCTCTCTCTCAACCTCTGATTTTTTTATGTATGCCTGCACTTTCTTATCCAATTTTCTCTTCGCTTAGTTTTACGGATTAAATTTAATACCGTTATAAATTTTAAACCGAACCGGTCCCGAGTCAACCGGAATGATTTTACCCGTTTTTTTCACACATTCAAACAAGTCAATAATTCGCAACACTAAGCAAATAGAAACGAGATTTGTTTAGAGAATCTTAAACACATTGTAGCAGTGTATATATATGACAAAAAAATAAAGTTAAGATCTTCAAAGTTATCCAGAAATACAACTTGTTCTGGCTCTAGTCACGCGAACAACATAATACAGAAATGATCTTTAGGAGAAACTTCCAACAAAACCCAGCTTTTTTCACCTGATATCAAAGATTTTTCCTTACCTGTAAACAAACAAATAAATAGTTAGTAAGAGATTCAAACAACGAACCAAAATGTTCCAATCAAGTGAAAGAGAATGTTGCATTACCGAGATGGGCTCCTGCTTCTGCTTCTGCTCTTGCTCCTGCTACGCATAGGGCTCTTGGCTGGACTCAGCTTGCTAGGGCTCTTGCTTGCTTCCTTCTGAACCTGCAACACGCAAAAGATGATTAGTATAATTAGCTGAGTTATAGAGATCAAATATTCTTTTTATAATACAGATCTAGAATTTGGATCACTTACTGAAGGCAGAGGAGATCTTGACCTTGAACGAGATCTGCAAAAGTCCGAGAAACAAATCCAGTTTTAAAATTCCAATATGTTTCCGTGTATAATAGCTGTTTTCACCAAGAGCCTTGATGCCTCATTCCATGTCAGAGATGCAAAATGTTATGAAAAAAAAGCAACAAAAAAAAAAGACGAACTTTAGACGATTTCTAGCTGAACATAAACTAAGACACAGGCTTTTCTAAGATAAAACAGAGGACAGCGATAAAAGTCTAATTCTATCAAACCCTGTGTCCAGAGAACAGCATCGGTTCCATGAGAATCCAGAACGCTTGATGTATTGCAGGTAATGAAAATATCTTTTCCTAGCTCATCGATGGATCCATACTGATGACACTATATCAATGCGATCCAGTGTCTCTCCACTGTTACCCATCTAGCAGCAATGGATATTATCAGAAAACGAGGAGACAAGAAAGTTTCAAGTCCAAAGTTGCCCGAAGTTTCAACTGTACCTCTGAGACGAAACAGTTGTGTACAACCAACCAAGAAATCCATGATCCAGATATTAATTGCCAATTTATAGTTGATCGTATGTATATCCATATCTAGTAAACAAAACCAGTCTCAACAATAAAAGGCCAAACTTTCGGAAGGAAATAATAAGTACCCTTAACTAGAAGCAATAACCATTCTCAATAAACCACCCTCAAGCCATCCGAATGACTTTATTTTAATGAGATATCAACAGACTTCAAGTGAAGAGCTAAACCCTATGCTATGTTTAGATGTCATCCGGTGACTTTAGCATAAACATAAAAGGAGGAAATAAAACATACCCTCGCGGAGATGGTGACCTCGACTTAGAGCGGGGAGCGAGGAGATCTCGATGTAGATTTTGCAGGCGACCTACGCGAAGATTTAGCCTTTGGACTCTTGCTCCTGCTCCTGCTGCGACTGCGACTACGACTACGACTACGGCTAAGGCTCCGCCCACGGCTGCGAGAGCGGCTTCGGCTCCTAGAATAGGATCTTCCACGGCTAGGGCTTCTCGAGTCCTTCCTCGAATCATATTCCCTAACCTTTAATGAGATGAGGAAATGTTAAGTGCAAAAAACAAAAAAAACAAAATGGAGTTCTCAGAATATTTGGCTTAAGCATACCCGGACATATCCACGAGAAAATGCATTCCGAAACTCTGTGTCGTCGAGCTTTTTTACCTGTAAAAAATGAAAGTATAGTATAATCATGAGTAATCAAGGATGAACAAATTCTCGACCACACAAATAATCAAGGATAGATACAAGAAGAACATCTCACCGCATACTTCATGTCCTCGTAGCTGGTATAATCCACGATTCCAGTTGTGCCTGTACATAAATTGTCCAAATTATAGATATTTTAAGCAGGCTACAGACTACTAAAAAACAGGATTAGACAACTATCTCTATTCTCGGGTAAGATATGAGCACTTACCTCTACCATCACGGAACACTTGAGAGAAACAGACTTCTCCTCCTTTACGCATGTGATCCTACAGAAGAAGAAAAAAAAAGAAAATGATTCTGTCAAGATTCAGAAATCTTTGAAAATACAGGAACGACAATAACGAATTTGTCCACAATTGTGTAGTCACCTTGAGGTCTTGCCAGGAAGCAGATGAAGGCAACCCTGACACTACAACTGTATAGTAGAAAAGATTAATTTACAGATTTCTCCTAAAACTTTGAATACACTAGTCCTAGACATATCATATTTACCGCGGTACTCAGATCTTCTAGATGGTCCACGCCCACGACCACCACCGTCACCACCATCACGACCGCCACGGCCACCACCACTGTAACTACTACGAGCATCATTTGATGAACGCCTCCCACCATGAGCTAATTCCACCTGCAATGGCCAGCATATATCAAATATGTTTGGCAACCAGTAAAATAAAAATTAAAAATAACAAAGTTATTGTTCAAATTCTGAAACCTTATGATTAACAAACCCGTACCCGTAAACGATGCCCATCAAAGTCATATCCATCACGACCATGAATTGCATCTTCAGCATCTCGAGCATCATCAAACTAAAGAAAATATATCATATATCAGATTAAAAATATTTCACTATCGTGGTGTCAATATCTCACAAAAAGCGAGCCTTTATGTAAAATCAACAACCCGCCCACATAAAACATGCTATTGCATAATAAGCTGACCTCGACGAATGCATAGCCAGGAGGCCTTGGAGGAATCTTCAAATCAATTTGAATAACAGGTCCATACTGCAAAACAAAAAGAAGGGGAAGAAGAATTCTTATCGAGATTTACTTGAAACAATCACAATCCCACAACATATGCAAGAATATTACTGCATTCAAATTCTTTCACATGCTCATCTTGTAAACACATATTCTTCACACAACATAAAATTTCATCCTGATTTATTGATCTAAACCACAGAAAAAAGGGTAAACATATACGCATTGATCACAGAAAAACCCAATCACAAGTGCTTTTGCTATGTGAAAACCAATTAGAGAATTAGAAGGGTCATTTACCTTACTGAACAAATCTTCAACTTCTCTCTCGCGAATATCGCCGGGAAGGTTCCCGACGTAGATAGTTCTACTCGAACGGCTGCTCATTCTTTTTTTCCTTTAACAAAATCAAAACGCAATTCATAAACGTCAACGATCGATACGAATACGCGTTCACTCAAAAACTCGCTAAACCTAAGAAAAACGAGAAGAAAACCTAGAACTAACGAGATTTGATTAATCGTAAAAATCTGAATTAAATTCCAGTAATGATTCCGTTCACCTAAAAGAAAATTCCGATGGAACAGAAGAAGAAGAGAGGCGTAACTTTCACCTGAATGGAAAATTGAGATCTAAGATTGGGCGAAAAAGCTCTCCAAAGTCGAGAACAAGCAAACTAGGGTTTCGAATTGGCCGAGATGTTAATATCAGAGACCATCACGTGACTCACGTGACATTTTATTTATTTATTTTACAACCCGCGAAACTAAAAAAATACATTGCATTGCATCGCATAAAGTCTAATCGGTGTGATTACATAATAGATACATGAACTGTTTGGTAAATACCGTCTAGAGATCAAAACAAATACTACGAAAATATGGTTAAACATTCTCGGTTTTTACGCAATAGTAATTGATTTTTGAAAGGAAAAAAAAATTCACTTTTCATTAGTTCACATATTATAGACTGAAATGACCAATTGGAAGATTTCTTTCTTTTCCGGTGCTTAATCCATTATAGAAAGCAACTAACTACTGTTGACCAAAATAATATTAGCTTAACTCTTTTTTTTTTCTGTTAGCAATATTTTAAAAATCTATTTTAAACATGTATTGGAAAACAGATTTGCATTTCTATCTTTAAGATATACTGAACACTAATACATGTGATTATTAGAACATATGACAAATATTTAATTATTGAAAGTATATTATATAACCTTTATCGTTTATTTTTCTATAATAAGAAAATGATACACCATGTGATCGTAGATGTTTTTTTTTTTTTTAATAGACCAAAAACTGGAAGAATAAAAATATAGTCTGCCCAGTTACTTGTTGTTTGTGTAGAATATAGATGTTGTAAGGATATATTTGTAAATCATTAGTCTCTAAAACCCTTGTATAATCACTATAAATACCTGTAATCATTTAGTCTAATGAATTATTCAGTTCCCTAATCTATATGGTAGCAGAGCTGCGATCCCTAGAAACCTAAAATCTATATACTCTTCTTTTTCCCTTTCATTCCAATGGCGCTCTCTCCTCAAGAAACCAGCGACACAATCTCGGTTACCAGTACGGCTAACATTGTTAATGTCAATATGACCAATGTTACAAAGCTCACGACAACCAATTTCCTGATGTGGAGTCGTCAAGTTCATGCCCTCCTTGATGGATACGACTTGGCCGGGTATGTCGACGGATCTGTCGTTGCTCCGTCCACGACGATCACCACCAATGGCGTCGCATCCGTCAATCCTGACTACACGGTGTGGCGCCGTCAAGACAAACTCCTTTACAGTGCACTTCTTGGAGCTATTACAGTGACGATCCAGCCTCTCCTTGCCAAAACCTCGACTTCCGCTGAAATCTGGAACACATTGACATCGATCTATGCCAATACGAGCCGCGGCCACCAGCAACAACTCAAACACCAGATCCGTGAATGGACTAAAGGATCCAAATCGATACACGAGTATATCCAGGGCTTCACGACCCGCTTCGACCAACTCGCACTCCTTGGTAAACCCATGGACCTTGAAGATCAGATTGATCATATTCTCCGGGGGCTTCCGGAGGACTACAAGACCGTTGCTGACCAGATTGAGGCTCGCGATACCCCTCCTTCACTGATGGAGGTCCATGAAAAACTTATTAACCATGAGGTTAAACTGCAGACTGTGGTGAAGAACACCACCACTCTACCACTCTCCGCAAATGCAGCAACGGTGCAGCCGTCCAACTCCAACAACAACAACAGGCAGAACACCTACAAGGGAAAGAACAATCGCAATAATCAAACTTGGCAACAGCAACAACAATACCAGCCACGACAAGATCAATTCACTCCCCGTGGTTATCAAGGCCGATGCCAAATCTGTGGCGTCTATGGTCATAGTGCTCGCCGCTGCACTCAACTCCAACATGGAGGCACTTACACACCAACTCCTCGCCCATTTCAGAGCACTTCTTCTCAATGGCAACCGAGAGCGAATCTTGCCACAGCTTCTTCCCCAAATGCAAACTGGCTCCTCGACAGCGGTGCTACGCATCATCTGACTACAGATCTGAACAATTTGTCTCTCCACCAACTTTACAATGGAGGAGAAGAAGTGACCATCGCCGATGGTTCAGGCCTTCCGATCTCGCACACTGGTTCCACTTCCTTATCCACTTCAACTCGTCCTCTTAAATTAACCGATGTTCTTTATGTCCCCAACATACATAAAAACCTTATATCTGTTTACCGCCTATGCAATACTAACCAGGTTTCTGTGGAATTCTTCCCTGCTCATTTTCAGGTGAAGGATCTGAGAACGGGGGCCCGATTACTCCAAGGCAGAACTAACAAGGAGCTGTACGAGTGGCCACTATCCTCACCAAACGCCATCACACTCTTTGCCTCACCATCACCAAAAACCTCTATCTCATCCTGGCATTCCCGACTTGGCCATCCTTCTCCTCCTATTCTACATACCCTAGTTTCAAATTTTGCTTTACCGTTTTCTGATTCCTTGCAAAAACTATCTCCCTGTTCTCATTGTCTCATTAATAAAAGCCATAAATTACCATTTTATTCAAATACCATTTCCTCAACTCACCCTCTCCAATACATATACTCGGAT